GTATTGTATCATAGTCAATATTTAAATTTTAGTCAATGAGGACAAAATAATAACTTTATTTTTTTATTAATCTTTTTTTCATGTGATGCAAACTTTATTTATGCACGTGGTATTTACTTTCACCAACTCTTCCAGTCTCACCTCAAAAGGAGGAAAATATTCAGTTTGAGTTTGAACAAAAGTTGATTCCATGAACTTTCCAAGACCATAACTCAAGGCTTATTTCAAAGGGTTCATCCAAAATGGCTGCTTGGTGTTTCTAGCAGCATCAGATTCTCTTTGTTTTATCTGTTTGCCTAAATAAACCAAACAGATAAAAGGATAAAACCAAGCAGCTGATGTTGTGCTGAAGGAAACTCACCCAGAAAAAGTCACAGTAGCTCCATTCGTCTGGTTTCAGCAGCTGCTGTTCAGACATGAAGGCCAGTGATGGAAACGTCACAGAGTTGATCTGCAGGAGAGGTTCTTTAATGAGTCACAGATCATCACTGATGTCTCAGACGGTTTGAAACCACCTCACACTGACGTATCAGACGGTTTAAAACCACCTCACACTGACGTATCAGACGGTTTAAAACCACCTCACACTGACGTATCAGCTCACACACACACCTGGGTTAATGTTGTTCAAACACTGACGTTTCTTTGTAAACTGAAGAAAATCTTTCAAATTTAGACAACATTGTCCCATGATGTCCTTGGAGACATCATTCTCAGATTTTCAGATTGATTAAAAGAAAATTTAGCAAGAATGGTATTTTTAGTTTGAAGATGTGGGATCTAGTTAAAATGTTTTAGAAGAAAAGATAGTAAAAATGGGTTGCAGACCCCTGACCTAGTGTTTGGCATRAGACCAGGTAGTGAACTTTCAGTGTAAAACCCTGCAGAGTCCTCTCTCCCTACCGGTCTTTCCTGACATGAGACATTTAAAGGTTGGTAAGTTGAGGACCTGACAGAAAGCAGGACCAACCAGTGTGGCTGAATTTACACAACAYCACTCAGAAATTTCCCCATGTTTCTGGCTTTGGAGGGGTGGGGGTGTCTATAAAGTTCAGAAGTGTTTGTTAAGTTTGTCCAGTCTGTGGGACAGGAAGTGGAACTCTGTAAACCAAATATGGTTTTCTCTCACAATTGTCTGTTTACATGTTTAACAATACACTGAAACAAATCAAATAAATCTGTTTTACATGGGCTGTACACTTCTATCCATCCAACCATCATCCATCATCCATCATCCATCCATCCATCATCCATCTATCCATCCATCATCCATCATCCATCCATCATCCATCCATCGTCCATCCATCCATCATCCATCTATCCAACCATCATCCATCCATCATCCATCCATCCATCATCCATCTATCCATCCATCATCCATCCATCCATCATCCATCCATCCATCATCCATCTATCCATCATCCATCTATCCATCCATCATCCATCCATCCATCATCCATCTATCCATCATCCATCTATCCATCCATCATCATCCATCCATCATCCATCTATCCATCCATCATCCATCTATCCATCCATCATCCATCCATCCATCATCCATCCATCCATCATCCATCCATCCATCCATCATCCATCCATCCATCATCCATCCATCCATCATCCATCCATCCATCATCCATCCATCCATCCATCATCCATCCATCCATCATCCATCCATCCATCATCCATCCATCCATCATCCATCCATCCATCCATCATCCATCCATCCATCATCCATCCATCCATCATCCATCCATCCATCATCCATCCATCCATCCATCATCCATCCATCCATCATCCATCCATCCATCATCCA